GAGAGAGAGAGAGAGAGAGAGAGAGAGAGAGAGGGGAGAGAAACTGGCATTTGGGCACAAGGTCAGATGCACATCGGTTCTTTTTATTTATCATCGATGCTTCTTCTCCTTCGTCTTCTTTTTCTTCTTCAACTTGTTCTTATTCGAATAAGAAAAACCAGGTTTTAAGATCGTTTGGGTAACCGGTATGAAGGGAAGGAATGGTTGGAAGCAGGAAGGTATAAAAATACGTGGAGTGCAAGAAAGGACCACCGATGCTCTGCTCTCCCCCCTGCGCTTGCAGAGCAGCCTCGTCAAGGAGGATCTGCATCTGCATGGAAATATGGCATAACTGGTCGTTGCCACTTTTTCCTAAATCGTATCACTCCTTTTGTATCAGCCTGTTATAATATGCAGCTTTCTTGAATTGCGTACGTTGCTCTTTCCCATTGTTGTACACAGCGTTTCGTTGTTACATGCTGTACATGTTAATTCTTTCTTTCAATCGGACGAAGTAGCAGCTCTCGTTGCATACACGTGTCTAACATAAAATGACTGTTTCAATAAAGAAACAAAAATCGATACTGTCCTCCTATTAATTGGAGTTCCATTTTATAAATCGCAAAGCGAAGTGTTAATATATATATTATTCGTGAATTTTATTATTTTATGGGATAAAACGTCGATTCATTTAAATTGGACGAAAAACAGAAATTAAAATCCGTCACCGATCGGAAGAAAGTTCGAAACTACGGTACGAAAATGGAGGACTCCCCCCCCCCAATCGTAAATTGCGCGCGTTCGTTGAACGCGGCTCCCTCCTTCCCCCTCCCTTCTTCGCGTCCTTTCGCCTCTTTGACGATTCGAATGAGTTCATTACGCAACCAATTGGTATCCATCACGCGCAGACTTTCTTCTTTCGTCGTCGGTACTGTGGCTCGGGATGCCATTGAACACCGTGGACGAGCAATTTATCTCGAGGTCATCGCGTTATCGTCTCCCGCGGGGCAGAGGTGGAGTAGGAGGGAGACGCGTCCAAAGGCCGTGTGGGCGAAACGCAGACAATGATCAGCCGGTCGTTATGCGGTTCACGTGGCACACGTCCATCAACGAGGACGTTTTTGCACGCCGGTCACGCAGATGCCTGTAAAATCTGTCTCTCTCTCTTACTATTCGTCCCGCCCCTTGTAATTACCTATCGGCGCTTGCCACTGGATTCGCTCGATTATATATATATATGCACGAAACTGAAGTGCGCCTATTCGAAATATATATATATATATATATATGTATGTTCAATAATTTTCTCGTGAAATTGCGGAAATAGTTATCCACGGCACGGTTTGCTGATTTTATAAGAGGAAAAAAAACAACGCGAAATTTAGAGTGGTTTTCTTTCTTTCTTTCGTTCTTTCTTTCTTTGTATAAATGTCGATGCGTTTTTGCACGCGTGACGCGAAGGAAGCCGAGCGAGCACAGTAATGCTTATTGACGTTACGCGAGATATGTATCTTTCTTTTGGGACGTGTGCACGTGTACGTATGTGAACCGTCTATTTTCTTAGAGAGTATAATAAACGTATTTTTCCTTGGGCTGTAAAGCGAGTATAGAAAAACTTAACCCTCGTATCGATCATTTCTTTCGTATGAGGAGGGGGAAGATGGAGGCAGTAATTTAAATGCTCGTTCTAAAAAGGAGAAATGTATATATATATATATATATGATTTTAAGAATGAATATATGTATGTATTATTGGTAATATTGTAATATCTTTTGTGCCAAAATATTATTAATTCAGGAGATATTGGAACTTGAATTTTGTAAAATTTTGCATTTTGAAAAACAAGGACCAAGTGATGCTTTTCTTAAAGATTTTCTAGAATAATAAGTAGTTCTATATTTGAAAAAAAACAGAATTTTATTTATAAAAGTAAAATTGATCTCCATGTCTTCGAGTGTGTATTTTTTCGCGTATGATTTTATTTTTGTTTTAAAATATTTTTCAGTATTTTTTTATATTTTTTTTTTTTTATATTTAAATATGATGAATCGATTCATTGAAATTCGACATCTTGGATATATTGGTGAAACATTACTGGTTACTAAATGCAACAATATACATGAAATAAATAAATTCATTA